GCATGGGCTATGCGGATTCTGAAAGAAAAAAAAATTAATAACCAGAAACCGGTTATTAAAATTAGTAGGAAAAAGTTTATTAAAGTAGCTGTTATTAAAGTGTTCTATATCCATGAAATTTCTTCTTGGGACTTTTAATCTACATTAAAATATAACATTTTATTCTTACAGAAAGTATTAGTTCATCTAAATATTTTTTTAGCAAGAAAATGCTGCTGTTTGAAATGAAACACTACAGCTAAAATTTGGTGTGTGTTTTAAGATTGGTTTGGTAAATACACACATGAAAAAATATTTTAATTTTTTTTCCCCATTTTTAACCCACCTCCCCAAAACTAGGGCTATGCTAGCTTTGAAAAAAAATATTGGTGGACTAGAAGGGGATATTTATTAGCTGGATTACTGAACAGGATACAGCCCTTCAACCTTCTACTGGAGGTTTTCACAACCAGCTTGTCATCTACACTCCCTCTGTGTTTCAGAGAGCAAAATGCACCTTGACAGTGTGATTCACACCACCGATTTTAGCTTGGGTTCAAATGCTCTGTAAGGTGTCTGTCTCTCTGACTTCACTGGGAGGTTAGATGGCTTGCTTACAGTTGAGACTTAGCTTTCAGAAAGCTAAATTTATATTAGAGGAAGCCCTCACTTTTTGTCTTATTAAAAAAAGGAGACTGTCCATCCTGGGAAATTAAAATGATATAGTGAATATTTGTAGTCTTTTTTTTCTTTTCTCCTCTTATTTGTCTTTGCAAAATATCCAGCTTTTCTAAACAAACAACCAAGAAAAATAGATCCTCCAATAAGATTGGAAGTCAGGCTGTATAATTATAAAGTACATTTTGCTATAAAATTTAACTTAGATCTGTGCATCCTTTGGATGCTATGCAACACTTAGGAGAACAGGATACCTCAGATGAAAACAATCTGTTAGAGAAGCAAAGGAGACCTTACTGAAATAGCATCAGTTTGAAAGGGCAAGGTCAGACTTGTGCCTGGCACTGGCCTGCCTACTGACCATCAGTAAACTGAAGAGTTCCAAGATCCATTGGCAGGGACTGGTCTTCGTGGAGTGCTATAGCAACCAGTTGCTGAAGGTCTGTGACTGTGAATTTAGTTGCTGATATCTCCCTCTCTTCCTTTGGATAAAGTGGAATTTTTTCATTTTCAACCTTATTAGATCCAATAGTTGAGATCTCATCTTCTGTGCTTTTGATTTCTGAGCCATCCCTCTCAAAGTTTACCACATATCGTGCTATAGTGCTGCTTGATCTGCAAGGGGAAGATGCAAAAATGCCCAGTGCAGCAAAATAAGTTACTGACTGAGGACTGATTTTACAACCAGACAAACAAAAATATATGCAACCACAACATATTATCTTCTGTAAAAATAATGCAGATATACTTCTTTCTAATGAGACTGTCATCTTCAAATAACTCTTGCTATACCTAAAGCTTAGCATAATTTTTAATAAAAATTCCAATATTGAATAAAATTCTAAAAATGTTCTAACATAATCCAGTTTAATCTGACTACTCAGAGATCTGTAGAACTGGTAATATGGTTTGAAGTCATTGATTATTGGTTCAAACAGTCATAAATGCATGCTGGGGTTACTAGAAGCCATAATCACCTATTAATTATACAGGAACATATGAAAAGGGATTAGACAGTTCATAAAACCACAGATAAGCAAAAATCCTATCACATCTGGGGCAATTTTTTACTCTTTTTTGAAGAACAGCAAGAAAGTTAGTTAATGTGGCAAGCAATGGGAGTTAGCTTTTCCAAGTCCAAATGAATATCTTCTCCCTAGATGCACTTGTTTAACAGAAGTCTCAAATTTTCACAATTATTAATACATCACTTTTCATAAATGCTAAATTCACGTAATTAAAATGAAAAATAATGAGTACATTGTAAAACATTTGTACTCCACTATGTTGCTTTTTATAATATCAAATAACCAGAGAGAGAGGAATTTCACTTTATCTGGTACGTGCTATGCATTTACATTAATATGACATTGCAGGAATTCAGGAAAAGCATTAGACAATTCTTCCTTTTAAACTACGAGTAAAAGAGAAATTCTGGGAACTGCTAGACAAATTATTCCCCAGCAGCACTTTTAAGCAACAGCAACAGACTCTCTAGCTGTTTGTATTACCGGTCAAAAGCTCCCTGCATTTTATCAAGCTAGTAACTGGTCTCTTTGCCATTCTATCTGGCCTGATAATGGAGATAACAAACCAAATTCTACATACTTATTGAAGATAATGTGTATATGGGAATACAGCTAGGAAACAGCAGATCAACAATGAAAATTTAAATATTAAGTTCTCTATTTTTTTTCACTTTCAGTTTATGACTGGTAGAGATCTTTAGTCATCTGAATGTGAATTTTCTTAGGTCAAACAACTAACTTTCCTTCAGAGAGATCCTGACAAAATTTGATTACATGAACCTTTCAGATTAAGGTAAAAGCTGTCCCTGCTGCTTTATATCACAGATTTTGTACTTAGGCAGAACACAAATCGATTCACTTTGTCACATCAAGGTAAAGAACATTTATTGATGTATCTATCTACATCTAATAGTCTATAAAATGATTAATCTTGATTATGAATTACAGACAAATTACCCATCTTTCTCCTTCTTCTGTCTTCATTTCATCACAGAAGAAAGGGTGTGAAAAAGGATTGCAAAAGAAAGAAAAACAAAGATTCATGTAAACCGGTAAATCAATCAGTCGTACATCAAAAACATCCTTTGACAATTTATCTTATCTTCTATATGTCATCTATAATTTTTATCTCTGTGTGAAAATGACAGCCTACTCTCCATCATTTCACTTTTTCCCTTCCAAACAATGGGAATCTCCATGTTTTGGGTGGGGAAACAGGCATGTTACTTTACCTTGACAGTCTGAGATATCTGCTTTCCTATTTCCCACTACAAATGGTGCAATTTGACCACTGTCGTTGCTAAGCTATATCTTTATGGTGGCAATGAACACCTGTGGCAGTAGTAGCAACTATTACTGTTACCACACATGGTGCCTACTCAGATCCTAGTCACAGGGGTAACTTGACCTATTAAATACATCTGGAAGACATGCCTATGTTGACCTCCTCTAATACGTGCCCTGTTATTTCCTCTGATGAATTCTCTAGCATACCGCTAATGTTGTCCTTCCATATTGCCTTGTAGGAAATGCTGCTAATATAGATAGCAATATGGCTAAGGGAGAATGGACAGCGACACCTGTCCTTTGATCTGTGACTCTCAGGAGCTAACTAAATTACTGGAATGGAATTGCTTCCCCAGGATGGGAAGCAATCCTGGGCTTCCACATTGATGAATGTACTTTTGTATCAGCTCCTAAGACCAAGATACTAAACAAAAATGAATCCCATATCTCCTGGAGTCATAACTGGAAGAAGTTAATTATTGCAAGTTGTAAATATGAGATGCTACTACAGATTTTCTCTGCTTGTTCTGCAGTAGCTGTCTTTTTGTTTTCTTACTTTCATTATCAAAATGTAAGCAACTAATTTTCACTCTATTTTGCTCTTCTCTCTCCTTTTCCCCAGCAATTTTGCAGAGAGAAAAGCTAGGAAGAAGTATGCTCTTGTCTAAAATTGCATTGTGATATGAATGTTCTTCAACATGTATTAAATATTACTAGAATGACTGAATGTTCTTGGTGCTGTGCCATAAGCCCACATGAATTTATGTCTTTTTTCCTGCTCTTTATTCCCTTTCCATTTTATGTTATTTCTTACTATTATTAATTTGTTTTTCCTTTGATTCTTTACATAATGTGCTCTTATCTATAGAAGCATAACCATATCAAATACTCAGTTTTTGACCCCCCCTTCCCTCTAGATTCTCCACTGAAAAAATACACAGTAGCTTGTATTAGCAGTAAACATACAAGGAAGCTAAAACTAAAAGAAATGGCAAGACAGAACACAAATTTATTAAAAAATGAAATATTTTTAATTGTTTGAAACACCTGGGAAACACCTGTTGGAAAAGTTTTATATGTGTGAACATGTATCCTCCTGCAACATTCTCTTGCTCAGGCACCTTCACTGTGATCTATGAAGGGCACAGGATCCACACACAAAAAAGTAATAATCATACTCCTAACTCTCTTTATCTTGTCATTTAAGAAAGTCCTTAATACAATGTTGCTAGCAAACAATTTCAAAGGATTTATTGCTTACTTCACCCCTCAGGGAATCAAAGCTACTTCTACTTAGTAATTCAAAACCTTATAGTCTCACTTGGGGTGTGTTTGCACTTCTCTCCATATTGTCTCTGTGTTGTTCCCAGAAATCTATTTTCTGTTTATAGCAATACACACCTCAATATTATATAGGTCTTTTCATGTTGGAGGGAAAGAAGGAAGAGGAGAATCCTAGTAGCCAAAAGAAGAATTAGTCCCATTTTCTTACTTACTTAAATCCTAATACATGGATTTCTTTGAATCCTGGAAGTTTCTCAAATATTTTTTGCATCTATAGAAAAACATAAAATCATTAATTCCGTGCAAGTTCTACTGCTAAAAAGCAAGCACAGGTTGACTACCTAGACGATATTTTTCATATTTCAGAAAGAGCTCTAGGAAATACTCTCAACTGCCCTCTTTGTGGTATCATCACGGCTCAACTTAAACACAATATTTGGTTTGTATATGCTGCCTGTATTACCTGTTAGTATGCAAAATGAAGTACAAAATACAGCTTTAGTAATTTAATTATGCAAATCAGTGATAATCTAGTTCATAATAAAGCAAGTCAAACAACATGAATCAAATGTTTTTCTCGTTTTCAGCAGTTTTGGTTCATGAATAATTTTGTGATTCAAGTCACCTTAACTGTAAATTGTTAATTATTTAGAAATGTTAACTAAATGCAGATGGATTTAGATTATTTAACAATCATTTATAAATTAAACAGTTTTACCTGTCTTGTACAAATAAAATAACTTCATATATTTTTCATTCTAACATAAACAATTGTACAATTAGATGGTTTTGAATAGAAGAGACAATATGAAGACTAAACAATGAGCAGAAAAGGTGAATTCTGTATACATTTTTCAGACTTTAGGATAATAAGTGTTTTTGTCAGCACCTCAAGAATTAACAATGTTTTGAGACCCAGCTGATTGATCTTTTGGTCTTTTCCAGTTGTAGCGACATTTATACAGCTAAGTCAAATTAAATATTTTATATACATCTACTATGTCAGAGGAAAGGGATTTTTTTTAAACACACAGTTACACAGTTCCTTTCTGATTCACTTCCCGGTCATGTTAAGTACCAGGGAACACATCGTCTAAGCCTTTCATCTGCGAGCAAAGCCTGTGGAGTTGAGGGAATTCAGCACTTGAAAAGAAGTGAAAAAGCCTTTTGAGGAATCAGGTCCTTATAATTCATCATATCACTTAAAAAGTATATGAACTAATGTGGAGATCTTTCCTCTTCCTTAGCTATCTGAGTCTGTACAAACCCAGCATACATTTAAAAGTCATTCATTCATGCATGAGAGTTTGTCAGAACTGGTAGGGAATGGGCAGACAGACCCACAGCTTTCTCTGCATCTCTAATGTAGGTTAAGTGAAGAAGAAGGAGCAGAAGATCAGTATTCTATCACAATACCAGCTATCAGCCACACTGTATCAGCCTAGATGTCTTTTTTGTTGCAGCAAGCACAAGAGAAGCTGAAGTCTAGCGCAGAAAATGGCCTACCATCTACACTCCCCTTGCCCATGTCCCACAAGAGGACAGTAGGAAAGGAGCTGAGGTAAATCATTTTGAGCTTGGTCTGACTTAGTAAAAGTGGTGCAGAAGTAGCAATTAGACTGTGGGAAGATTGTATATGTTATTCATGTGACTAATGTTCACTGAAAGTAACAGATATTAAGGGCCTAAATCACTAGGATGTGATTAATTTTCCTAAACTTAGGCAAGCACTATCATTTTAGATGCCTTAAGGTTGTCTTCTGCTCAGCTGCTGGTTCAAAAGAGTGCATCTCTCTCATATTTGAGAGGCCCTTGCAGATGTGTTGGATAACCTGGGGCACCTAAAATGGCACCAGATGTCCAAGTTTAGGCAACTGAATCCCATTTTAGCCATGTTCTGCCAGCTGACTCTTGGCATGGGCTCTGTTCAATCTCTTCTTGGTTCTCTTTCTATCATAATGATGTTGATGCTATCTTTTAACTGTATGCACATATATAGCTTCCCATTTCCTACTTTTGCCAAATGAATCTTGATTCACTGAGTAGCGTAAGCATCTGAATCTGCATTCTGTTTTTCATGTGATTTTAAATGTCTGTTGTGGTATACAGATGTACTGCTGAACTTTTGCACTGTAATGTCTGCTGTAACTCTTTGCTCTTGCCATGTCCTGGAATGAATTAGAAACTGAGCTTGGAACTCCACGGCCCCAGCCTTTGCAAGGGCTTCTCTGGAATTTGTACAGGAGCTCATGTAGCTGGATGAGGTTTTAATTCTGAACCCAATCTCCTCACTCTCACCCTTTGAGTGCACTTGTAAAACTGTCTTGTATCAAGATGCCCTCTGCCTCCTCCGTGACCTATCTTTGGAGGAAAACGTCAGGTGTATTTCATGGTACTGGACTACAAATCATTTTGTATTTAACATTGCATGTCAAGAACAGCTTTGGACTCTTTAAAGTGACAGATAAAATTTCATGACAAGGGAAAATAATTTAACAATCAAGAAACTTTGCATTTCACCCCCTCCTATTAATGAAATTAATGAAATAACTTAAAAGTCAGAATTACATTGTTATATGTGTAGTAAACAAAGTCTGCAGGCAGTTCTGTTTGAGTATAATACTGGAAATCTCCAGAGAAGCCACTTTTTATTAGCTCTGCCAGCACATCCTTCACAATTTTTCTATGCATATCTGAAACTGAACCAGGATAGTGAAATAGCTTGCACTAAAGAATGCTTGTGAAACTGATAAGAAGCTTTAGTGAATTTTACTAAGAAAACATTTGGGAACCTCAAGTCATTAACTGCTATCTATTATATTGATAGCTGAACATTCAGTTAAGATTATTAATTATAGGAAAACAGCACAGATATTCCAGTTCTTACAGAAACTGTGGTGATGCACAACAAAATGACTGGAAGTCCTTTGAAGGATAGTTCAGACAACAGTAGCTAATTACTTCTAACATTTATATTACATTTCTCATTAGGTTTATCGTGGAAATTAAATTATGACAAAGTACTGTCCATGAATTCCTGATTAAACCCAAATTATATTCCTGAAGTTACTCTGTTCATCAGTTATCTGAGGCTCTACTGCTGACAAAGACATTAGTTTGTTAGCTTGGTGGCTGAACAGATGGCCTAAACGAGGAGAAAAGCTGGCTATACATGAAGGAAAACTGAAGGTCTTGAGACAACAGGAATTATCTATTTCAAATGAGGGCAATAGATTCTAGTTCTGTTTCATGGTGAAGGTAGTTTCATATTATGAATTGCAGCCAAGGTACAAAGCCAACATTTTGGCATTCACTCAGCCTCCTTACCTGTAGCTGAAATTTGGCAGCGAGTTGTCGGTACTGTGGGGAGTTGGGATCATTAAGTTCAGCTGTGTACTCCTGATCAGTGAGAGTGACACTGAACTCTACCATTTGCTCCACAGGTAGTTCTGGGACTGTATTTGTTCCCAGCTCCTGGAAAAGAAGAGGAGAGGAAAAAAAGGGGAGAAATAAATCCAAGTGATATTTTCCCCACATTTCAGATTATCTATGTAGAAGGGTTCCCTTTTAATAAGGGAAACTATCCCCAAAATAACTTTCTGAACCGTATCCTACAAAAGGCGAGGGTTCCTATTCACATGTTGGTTTAATTATTCTGCCTTTGCAAAAAAGTTTCTATTACTGAGAGATTGCCTTTGAGAGTTGCCTTTGATGTGCATAAATGAAGGTGATGAAGAGAATCAGGCCATTTCTTGCACAGAGACTGTTAACAAGTCTTCTTATTTCCATCATCGTTAAAGTCATATAGCTTTACTTGCCACTTTGGAGGAAAGTGTGTGACATCAAGGAGAGTGACAAGCAAATGTTAAAAGCTGGTTGGTATCCTACCCTCAGAATACCCATGGTCAATCAGAGCAGACTGACAGACTCTCTGTTACTGTTTCACATTCAGACGTTCGCATTTGGTTTTTCCTGATAATAAAGTAGAATTAACCCTACCTGTGTTACACCTTTATTGTGCAGTTGACTTTACTGCTATTAAAAGTACTCTTATTTTGTTTATTGTTTCCAGACACTATTTGCAGTTTTGGCCTACAATTACTAATTTTTTCCTTTAATAATGTTAAACTCCAAAAGCCAATTCATTTGTAGGCTATGATGTGCTGGCCACAAGGAGGAGAGCCACTATGAGTGCATTCGGAAAAATTTCCTAACTCATCTTAGATACAACAATACACATTTTCTAATTTTAAGATCAGAAGGTATCTCTTGTTCCTTATTCACAGAGCTGAGCTTCAAATTTCAAGTCTTGGAACGCAAGTACCTGAAGAGGTGATGCAGAGAGGCCACCCAGGAAACTCCTGCCTTCTGCCAATCTCTCAGTCCTTCTTCACAGATCTTGTTACTAATGTTAACACATACCATCCTTGCATTCCACTGCCAATGTATTTTATTATGCAAAAAAGCCTTTTGTTTTTTTCTGAATAAAACCTTTCAGGGTTCTATAAAGTTTGCCTGTTAAAAATATGAAGGTCTTGGAACACAAAACAAGTTTTTCTTTACTGCATGTACTGCATATACATTGCATATTTATATTTATTAGCAATACTCACATATTTGGTATTCTTTAAACACTTTTTTATATTTTTATTTGCTCAGGGACAATTCTACTCTCAGCCAGGCTTTTTATACCTTGGATAAACAAACAAACACAATAAGAGCAAGACAATGATCAAGAAGAAACTGGCCCAGAAGAGCAGCAAGCTCATCAGCCTGAATCCCACAGAGAGGTGAGATTTCCACTTCTGCTGCCAGGTGGGTTGGCACAAGGCTGCTAGAGACATCTGTCCCACAAATAACACCTAGGTTTTGACAGCTTCCAAGAATAAGCAGAACAAGAAATATGTGCAATTACGGTGTGTCAGGGGATAAGAGAGAAAGGAAGATGTTAATATAACAGAGAATGAGTGAAACAGGAGAGAACACTTTCTGCACCCATTGATTCTGTGTAACTCAGCTCTGCTGAGTCACTCCTTAGGATGCCTCAGTTTTAGAGGAACGTATGTTTTGTGTTGTATACAAGAATATGTCTCATCAGTTAGAGAAAGAACATTCTGTAATGTTCTATCATATAAACAGAAGATTAAGGAATATGCACTTTCCATATAGCTGCCCTATGACTTTTGAGGCGCCAGCCTTTAGGGAGCTGGTCACAAAGGACTGGGCCAAGAAAGAATGAGGAGACCTATAACATGGAGGAACTGGTTAATGCCAATCTCCCAGGACATCTCAAATGTCACAAATAAGCGATTTTAAAACCATTTTTTCCTCATATTTTATCTGCTCTTTCACTCCAACAGCTATGATACAGGTAGGTAATACACAGTTGAGAATATTATTTTGCTTTCTTAGGTCCTGAGGATGTAATCATTTCGGACAGTAAAAGTACCATTTATCTGGGAACACTCTGGTGTAATTCCTGTGCTGCAGCTGAGAAGCTTGCAGAGGTGGGATGGAGAATGGTGGTGATTTGCCAGGGGGTGTGATGGGCGAGGCTTCGGCCAGCATTTCTGCCCTCAAATTCTTGGCAGCGGCAGCACCGAGACCTTGAGTTCACCCAAGTGTGGAGGAGGTGCCATGAGCCTCTTCTTACAGCCAGTATGCACAAACAACAAAAAAAAAACCGGAGTGGCTTTCTGAGGAGCTGCTCTAGAAGGGCAAACTGTTTAGAAATTGAAAAAAAACTCAGGGCAAAGCGGAGGGGAAGTGCAAGGGGCAGGCTCCTGCCTGGTGCTCCTTGGCAGCGGGGTCCACCATGGGCCCTCGGGCCCTCGTGAGGCCTCAGTCTCTCTCCAGAGGGAGGTTCTGGAAGGTTCCCTGAATCCACATAGCTGCGCTGAGGCCAGGGCCACCTCCCTGCCACCCCCAGGCACAGCAGCCAGGACAGGGAAAATAACTGCTCCTCCTTTCACCCCCACTCCTGTCTCAGATGTAACCTGTGGCCTGTGGTAGCTGCTGCAAACCTGTGGAGGAGGGGGTAGCCCCCGGTGCCATGCTGCATGGCTGCTTTGAGTAGACATCAGCGGAGATCCCCTGTTTGACAGCTGGCTGCCTGGCAGGAAAAAGGCAAGAAGGTCCAGTCCTATCCCCCGTGCTGTGGAAATCTCAGAAGGTATGCATTTTTACATTATTTAATGAAGAACAAGGTTACAAAATGGTGCAAAATAGGCATCGCGCCCCTCATTAAAAGAATGAAGACTCAGCCTAAAAGCTGGTTGCCATATTTTTATACTTTCTACCACACACGCAAGAAACATCATGCACTACTCCAGTACAGAACAGATGCTAATAAAACCCTTCAGTTCTACTAGCGGTAACAGAGGGGAGCATTCATGGTTTATAAGCAGTAAGTGTTTATAAGGCTTCCCCCTCTTTTCTGCTAGCTGAGCTCAAAAAGAGGAGGTGAGTGAAAAAGTGGGATAGGAAAACAGGCTGCCCTCACCTTCACAGGAGTCTTCGTGTCGTTAACAATTTCGTTGAGGAGCGTGCCGTTAGGTACTGGTGCATATGGAGAGAGGGATGTGCCAGGGGAGCCTGGGGGGGGGGTTAAAGTAAAATCAGGCAAGAACAAGTTTGCACATCAAAAATCTTCCCCTTTCTCTGTTGATCAGGTGTCAGCTCACTGAAGAAGCCTTCCTTCTGGAGAGTGTGTTTGAGCGCAAGCCTGCGCCAGTGAAAGGTGGTCATGACTTATGTCACGGGTAAAGCTGCTAGTTTTTATACAATAGACGGCCTTTCTTTCCATGTCAAACATCAGTAGCGTTGCATGTGTGTGACTGAAGGCAAAAATGGCACTGACTATGCATCGATGAAATTGTGTGAATTAAATAATAATATTTGACCATTTCCTGTCATACTGCATTAGATATCACCAAATGTCTAAGCTTGATTTTGCCAATTGAGATCTTTGTCTCTAGGACAGCCACCTTTCTATAGGGCTCAATTTAAAGTAACGAGGTGTTGACAAAGTTTTCCAGCTAGAGGCAAAATTACCATACTGAAAATGGCTATCAATAAGATTCTATCATATTTGGCCCTCATAAAAATATGTGTGCAGGATGTTTCCTTCTTGAACTAAAACACTCATATTTACAGATTTTTATCACTGCATAAGTTTCTAACATTATTTTAAAGAACTGTAGTACACAACAGTGCTGGTGGGTCTAATTGAAATAATCTGCTCAAATTAATGTCTTGGCATCACTGTGACTTTCTGGCTAAAGTCATTCTTTATTCCCATCCGCTTGCTTATTTTGGCTAACAAAATGCAGCAGCTGACACTCTAAATGTTATTTCATAACTGAAGCAAAATAAGCTCTACTCTCTACTCTCCTGAAACTAGGAAAACATATGAATTTAAAGACTGTGAAACAAGCCTGGAATGCTACATTTGAGTAGACATGCTGTAAAGAAATCAAAGAATGCTTCTTATAGATTATTTTGCTAAAGCATTTTCATTGTACTTCACTGAACTTGTCATGCTTCTACTGCATTCATTAAATTACAGCCTTCTAAGATCTATGAATCACTGGTTTTAGCAATTCTATTTAATGGGCAGACACACAGCAAGCAGATTTGATTTTACCTGTAGAAATGGAAGGAATGTCTTCCAGCTTTTTGCCACCTGTTTTCTCTGTGGATATTTCATCTTTCCTATTGATCAAATAGAAATGAGTGATTTAATGATCAGCATACTGTAATGGCAATGGCAAAGGTGTAAAAAAAATGTAGAAATGACCCCTATATTAAGTGTACTTTAAATGAGGGAAGTTATTTCTAATGGAATATTTGATAAGCTGGTTCAACAGGTAGTGGAACAATAGATCATATTTTATATTCAACAGTTTATACATTTCCTTTCCTCTCCTTCAATATGGTATTTGCTCTTACAATGAACAAAAATACTGATTTGATATATTCCTCCACCAAGGACTACCAATCCTGTCAGGAGTCTGCTTATGAGGTTTCATGACTGATTTTCTCCAAGCAATCAGAAGGATGGGGTCACAGAGATTAAATCAGTGCACAGGGTCTGCTTTTTCTCTCTTTGAAGTCTATGAATGGTTGACCACTGACTAAAATGGAAGCAAGACTTGTTGTACATTATCTAAACCAACTATTGTCTCCTTTGCTATATCTCATCCTATCAAGATAGTTTAGTGAGGGCTTTGGGCTTCTTCTAATTCTAGAGCCAATGGACATTTGTGTGTTTCATACAGTTTGGTGTGAGGAGGGGATGGGTGGACTTATTTTTCAGTTGTCAGCCTGCATTGTGATATCATAAGGACGCTTCCAACTAATGATAGTTTCAAATCAGATTTCTGGATCATGATTATTATGAATTGTAGGAATGTTTATGTTTGGATCTGGATGTAATATTCATGGGTTAATGCCTACCATGGTCCCCATGGCAGATAGCTGAAAACTCAAGTAAGAATATGGTGGGTGTGATGTACAGATTGTCTGCCTTGCATCACAGGATTTGTTTTTGTATTGTTGATATTATTTTCTGTTGTAAGGTTTACAGTCATGTGCTGATGAATAAATTTTGTAACTATGACTGTTAGCTTGCCTGACAAGCACAAGTGGTATGTATATATATAAATATGTAATCGATGTGTTAAAGATTCCTGCAGTTAAGGCTATAGAATAATTTCTGCTCTAAAACTAAATTTTTATTCATTTGTGGCTTTTGGAAACATTTAGATTCTTAGATATGAATCTTCTAAGTGACATTTTGAGATTTTTCTTTCCTGAAATTGGGGGGTGAAGAATTTCAGTTGTTTCGAGTTCTAAGTAGAGTGTGGAAAAAACCACAGCATAAGATAAAAAGCCCAGTAATGGAAATAAATGAGGATAGAATTCCTCAAAATTTCTGTAGAAATAGCTATTATTAAGGCAGTGCATACAGGTAGAGTGTTTGTGAAAATTGATATAAGTGAAAGAACTAAGAGCACTGCAAATGCATAGTGTGGTAACTGAGACAACATGAAGGTTGTAGCATAGACAGAAAAGACATCTGGGCTGCATTTCTATACAGGACCAACCTAGATGTTTAATAACATAGATGAAGAACATGAACAACTCCTGATTTACCACATCTTCTGGATATCTTGTGTGGTGAGAACTAAAGTATTATTTGTAATGTTTTCACAGCGTTAACTAATTATGTGTTGTGTCTTTAACTGGAGACTGTTCTCTACATGGCGTCTACAGAAGATACAAAATGTTTCCTAAATCACACAGTAGTAAAGATGAAGTCCAACAATGCATAATCATGTCTGCCTGTATTTCCAGCTAAAATATGAGTAATTTCATAGAATTTACTTCACTTTCTGAATTATGTCTAGGAAAAACCGTACTGTTCACAAAGAGCATAAGAACTCTGAGATTAGTCACTTCACTTATTGCCTTGCTGCTGCTGTTTGCACTAGACTGAGTGAAAACACCTCCCTTTGGACTTCCAGGGAAGTTTAATTAGGCCCTACATTATTAAAAATACATTTCTGAGAAAGAAGAACACTCAAAGCTCCCATGTCATAATGAATAAAGATATGTAAGACCTCTATGATCATAAGACAGTGTAAATTATGAATGGAAAAGATTATTTGCTACACCTGAAAATCTAAGAAAATTTGAAGGAAAAAATAATACATTAATCAGAGAAACTGCGGACAGTGATTTGTCTGACTGTACTATAGTATTCATATGCAGAGAGACAGAGTTCAGTATTGTAACTTTAATCCTGCCATTCTCAGACTTCTGAGCACTGCCAGGAGCATACTTTTTTTCCCAAGAGTTTATGGAATAAAGCATCACATTAGTTAATACTATCATGATGTGTAAAAATACAGGGGAAAGCTAAAGTGAAGGCATACAGTTTTCATATTATTGCTTAATGTAGCCTCCCAGATAAACTTTTGCTAAGTTCTCTAACTTTCCTTTTGTGAATTATAGTAATTGTGGGTAATCATTTGTTACACTCCAAATCAACACTAGTCTAATGCAAAGCTGTGGCTCTGTCAGGGTTTCATGCTCACATTAGTCTAAGAAGACATTCTGTGGTGTCTCAAAGTGAACAGGCAACTCAGACACTTGGCCACCTTCATTATTTGTGATTCAGTTACTGGGTACTATGATACACACCGTATACACATCTCTCACAGCACACACCAAATACACCACAGTGCTATCTGTGTATCTGTTCACATCCATGCACATCTACACATATCTTTTTCAAAAAAGGCAGTAACATCAAGTCGCAAGGTTCTGCTTGTGCTACTTACCTTTCCTGGAAGGTTCTATGTTTTACTCGCTGCGAAAAGATTAAGAAAAACAGCATTTTACTAGTGGGTGTATCCAACCATTGAGCAGAATCCTGTTAGCAATTTCTTTTACTGTACTTTTACGTTTTCCTTCTAACACATGCCCCCTCCTCTTCCTGAGCAATACTTTGCCCTTATATAAGCAGATGGGGAGGGACTTGGAAGTCTCCCCCAGTTTCTAAACAAATGTCAGTAATCCTTACCTGTTGGATTATTTCCAGGTGCTCTTGGGAATTGCTGAAGTTTTTGCCAATGTCGAATATGCAGAAGGTTTCCCTCTGGCAGGCAGTAACCCAGTTCTGATATTCAGAAGTATCAGGAATCCGATCCAGAAAAATACGAAAGGCTTCCCACACAGCTTCCTGGCAGACTGAGTAGGAAGAAAGGGGCTGGGGATGGATGCTTTGTACCAAAAAGTAAACTTGAAAGCCTTTTTAAAGTGATTTGGGGTTTACACATTTTACTGTACTTAGTAAACAAATCCAGCTTCTAGCTATTTTTAGATATTTAGCTCTTTTAGGTATTTTTGAGTTGACAGTCATTTGCCTTTATGCTGAAGGATTAGCCGTCTTTGAGTTAAGGATTGCTAATTTCCCTCATTTTAAAAGAGAGATTAATTTGGCCTGACATCATCATCATAAGGAGCAAACACAAAGCACACTTCCTTCACCTCAAAGGTACATACATACAAAGATACATACATACAAAGATACATACTGGATGTTCTAGTGAGAGCAAACAGGGAGCTAGAGAAAAAAAATAATCTAGCAGTCATCTTAGTTGAATAATCATAATTTTAACTGTATACAAAGGTTTTGTACAATAGTGTGGTTAACTATGCATAGAACAATCTAAACAGAACATATTTAAGATTTTGATATTCCCCACACATGTAACAAAATATTTTAATGGAAAAAATATTTTTAAATACAGCAGGCTAAAATTATTTGACTATATTCCAAATTTTTAATGTAATTAATCTTTTCAAAATCTTAAGGACATTCTGCAGCAGGTACATGCTTTTATGTTTCTTTAAACACCTCTGGAAAAATTGAATGACTTAGTATAGGTAAAATTCCTTTGGAAAGAACATGATTTCCTTCTTCTCTACACAACTTTATACAGTCATTTGTTCCATGTTAAATATCTCCTCCATGGTGATGAATCACCCAGTTAAATGCCAGACTACATCAGACAAGATTAACAGGTACTGTGGCTGCAGAGAGAACAGTCGCATTCTGCATCATCCGGGGAAATGAAAATGAACATAAAGAGAATAAGACAGTAGGGGAGGTTTTGAAAAGGTGGTATTCAGGAATGGCTCTAAGGGAGCTTCATTTACTGGATGCAAACTGACTTAATTACATGAGATTATGTAAAACACATAATATAATAATGGAGACTAATACTTTTACATATTCTGTTGGCTCACTCCTTATGCAAGAAAGCTGTGAAGTTCAGTTGTAGTATGTTACAAAATGTATTAGAATGCATATTTGGGCTTGGCATCCAGTTTTTTGATCTATTTTCTAGCAGTCAGAACTCTGTCAGGCATTTCAGGGAAAACTTGTAAAAGGTAAGTTCCTGCTGCACAGACCTTGCTCTCTAGCACTATGGGTGAGGATTATGACATGCATGAGTACGTGAGGGAGGGGAGAAAGCAGCAGCAGCGAGGTTATAAAATGACTGCTCAGAAATACTTTATAGGGCTTACTTTCCCTTGATGATTCTGATAACACAGGTCTTAGATATGTCTGCAGAAGTGAGTTTTTGAGAGTCACAGGTGGCCAGGTGGGGCTACACTTCTGAGTGCACTTTTACCAACATCTTGCTGAAGTCTCCTCTTTTTTGTAAGTCAAAACCATTTCTAAAAGTTTCTTGAGGATAAACTGTTCCCTCCTCCAGACAGCTACTGCCTATCTGACTAACTATACTAATATGTCTTTGGATTTCAGTTCAGATACCAGCCCTTCCCCACACCCAAAATATTTGGTTTTACTCAACTCACTTTGCACAGCCTCAAGCTAAACATAGAATGAACCCTGGCTGCTCCTGAGTCATGTTTAAAATCACTGAGTGGTCCAAAGAGATCCTCCAGCTAGCACAGAGCCAGTCAGGAAGTGCTGTTCTGCGTGGACTTTCTTGCTTAACTGCAGAAATATCCACTTACGCAGCTTGTCCTCTGCAGGGTCTAGGAACTCAGTTGTGTAGGATAACCAACAGGGCTCAGTGACTGCTAGAACCAATGTGTTTTGAACAGAACCACTTCAGTTTATCTCAGCTGTCGCTATGCCTTCCCATTCATGGATGACTGCCTCTGTCACTACTTGTTGGTTCCTCTGGTACTGTTGGAGTCAACAAAGCCAGCTGTAATTTTGGCTTTGTGAAAATACAATGTACACTCACTCAAGATGAAGGAACACACTTCTTCAAAATGTTGTTTAAAGTTAAATGCTTTTAGAGAAGGGGATTTTCAAACATATTAGAAAAAACATTTTAACAAAAACTTGCTAGCAATTTAAAAGCTGTTGCCTTTAGCATTTTACTTTGCAAAGTTCATTACTGTGAGATGGGACATTTATTTTCAGTACTTGATACCTGCTTTGACTTAGAGTGAGATAATTATCTGCATTATCTAAAATATCGGTGTCTCTGAAATTAGTGCAGTCAGTTTCTCTAGGTATTCTCTAAACTTGCTGTAGCGATGTACTCACCTAGCTGTGTTACGGCACCTCAATAATACCTCAGGAATGACCTGCCCTCCCAGTAGAGCAGCTGCATGTGGAGCAGATGCGGTCAGATTATTAAAAAAGAACCGGCTGTCTTTTGAAGAGACTTATTCATTATGAGCTAGCAGTTAAGGCTACTTTTTGTCAACTTTTTCTCACAACTCTCTGGTATCTGTTTTCGGAATGAATAACAGATTTGTTATCTGCTGAATAAAAATATAATATCTGATGAAAAGTAATCCAATTACCAGGGTTTAGATAAACATGACACATGGGCAGCTGAGGAGGCATCGTAGCTGATTCCATGCATGCTCCCAGTTTGCCCCACATGAGGGACTGTCTTCATGGTGACTTAAGCTATGGTGTGTTATTTCAGAGTTGCAATAGGGTCACAGTAGGCTCAGGTTATCCAATAGCAACTGTCTGAGCTCCTATATCTGAGCTGCTTTGTGTTGTGTGATCATTCCTGAAAGCATAGAATATATATATATCTGTAACACAAAATATGTAATTTTTCTTAGGAAGCAGTAAAATCCTCTAGAGGACAGTTATAATCCACAGTGCTGTTACAGTTCTAAATGTGTCATGTGACTTGGAGGAGTGGAAGTGTTCTCCTAGACTTTAGACATGGAAAAGAACAGACCTAAAGGTATGTCTACAAAAGAAAATGAAGTTAAGATTGTCCCACAGATAGGCACAGACTGTAAGAGTTCAGCATGGCTGCCAGATTATCTTTTCATGAAGGCTTGTACTGTGGTTACAGCTTCAAGGATAATGCTTGCATCACCACTTTTTCACTTCTACCTCTTTTTTTTCATTTATCACTTTCATCAGGTAAATTGGCATGCTCAGTTGGGAGGGCAGAAGTCTTGGGTTCTGATCTTTCCTTGAAGGAAAGATTTTTTGAGGCTTTAATGAAGGACATTGTAATGGAAAATGTGCAACAATTAAAGGGAGCAGAAACACCTTTTTCTGAATGAGTGTACGAATTATTCAGCTGCAGTCATCTGTTCTCTTGCTTACTTTTTGGGACGTACTCCATCTTCAGTTGAAGAACTGGATGACACCTACTTAGAGAATTTTGTGAGTGTAGGACACTCTGCTGGGAAAGAGAAGCTGTAAGTTTAAACCTGCTGGCGTTACAAGACTTATAGAGCCAAATATCCCAGCTGATGTGCTGCTCTCCAGAAAGGTGGTAGTATTGTCATCATCAGTTTTTAAATGAAAATGTCATAGTTGCAGTTCTTTGGGTTCAGGTCAATGATACCAGCCTGTCCCAGGATAGCTTGTTTTCAGCCCAATCAGGGATGTGACCAGTGAGTTTTAGGGACTTTCAGGATTAATTAGTATTTAAGAAAGGCTTTTTGGATCAGCCTCTTTAACACGTTTCAGAATTCTGTCTAATGCCAACTGGGTATCCACAATGGATACCAAATATGTTTGTATCTATAGGAATGGCTGCAGACATTGGTGTAGTTTGCCCATGCTGCCTATAGCAAGTGGCTGCTGGAGTAAAATTTTTGCAGCTCTACATCCAGGTTTCATTTCAGAGGGAGCTAGCTGGTTCCCTGAAAGAGAGCTGAGCAGCAGCCAAGTCACACACATGTTATGTGAATGGTTGGAGACCAATACAGAGGACAAACAGATAAGCAAAGTTGATTTAGAGAGTAAATGTTGCCTTAGATACTTCCATGCCAGAAGTGCTGACTAGGTTTCAGAATTAGCTTTGGACCATGTAGCTGCAGCACAAAAATATGCATTTTTCTAATACAAATTGGAACCGCCACAGAATGAAAGATTGGGAGAGGTAGAAGGAGGAAGAGAGAAAATATAAAAACCAGAGGGCTATTTGCACCATGCTCTCTAGGGACCTAAGATTGGAGTGGTAACTCTATAGGCTCCCTATGGTCAAGGGAGGTAAAGAAAGGCTGGGGAGGGAGTGAATTAATTGGGAAAGGGCAGAAAAACCATTTTAGACTTTTAAAAAATAAAACTAAGGTCTTTGCATGAGCTGCTGGCAATTATCTCAGTGTTTGTAGCATACCAACATTGCCACAGACTTAATATAACTACAGATACACAAAGATATTTGTGCAATGACTGATGAATAGTTTCATTACTTGTCTTGAGCTGGTGGGATTAATTCTGAGTAGCAATGATGGTACCTGCTGCACTTTTGAGAAAGGTGGTACATCTTTACACAGTAGCGCAAGCATAATTTGGTCTTCACGTTCTACCATGCTAGAACACTATGCAATTACACCGAGTTCATTAGTCCTTTGAGTGCATTGTTTCATTCTGTTCTGGTAACTGTCTGTCTTGAACCGTGTTGATGTACATGCAACATTTGATTATCTATGTAAAAATAAAGCATAAAGCAAATAGCACATACACTGCCTAGAGCTAAAGAACAAGTTTCTGGAAAATTATTGTTTCCTCAATTAAAAGAAATACTTTCAAGGAGGAAGTACATGCTACAATCATCATCTTACCTCTTAATCTATAGTAAGCTTGGTGACTGGCTAAAATCTGCTTCACTGATTCTTGTGGGCAAACTTTCACACCAGTTGAAAAAAAGGATGATCTCTTTGTTCGATGTTTTGCCATGTCAAATATCCGCCTTATGGTTGATACTCTTGACCTCTTTGTTGTTCTTTCTGTTTTGTCTGACCCTGAGGCATCTGCAAGATGTTTGGCTTCACCACGGTTTATTTTATTAGGGATTTCTGGAAAAGATAAAAAGTGAGCATGTACATAAACATACATTACATAGGCAGTAGGTATGCAATGCAAGATGATGTCTGGAAAATGGGCATGGACCTGAGAGTCCTTTTTCTTACATTATATTGGTGTCAATGCCCTGACTGAATTAATGTGCTGAGGAGAAATGTCCTGTGATCACATGGGGGAACTGGGACTCAAGAGACCTGGTAACTAATTTCCTTATATCTCAACATGTGACCCTACGACACACAGGGTAAAAGTTTCAGAAGCCCTAAATCTTGTTTTCAAAAGCAGCTTTGGGTTAGATCCACAGAGGACACTTAAGTGCTTGAACTTCATGCTACAGCATTTTAT